TTAAAAAACTATAAAAGGACATTCAAAACGTTAATGGAAACCTTAACATGGTAAATATGTGATCCGTTTAAACTTCCTTGCATAACCTAATTATCGATTTATCTTTCACGAGACTAGACTGTAAAAGAACATGTTGTTTTCTGTCATATTAAGTTCAGCAAATCGTCTTTAGTTTCTTTATTACTTTGGGCCAATTGGCTCATCAGAACTATACATATTTTCATGCAAATAATACACACAGATCTACTAATGTATGACCAGGAAGTGGAACTCTAAAACAACACAAGTAAATTAAAGGTTATAAACATATGCATTTTGTATGTGCATGTTTGCAATGTGCTCTTAAAAAGAATGCAAAAATGCATACGATTATTGCATTATTAGCTTATATTTTACTAGAATTTAATGTAAAAGAAAAGAAAAATATAGTATGCTTTTTTCAAGCATTGGTTTTCAACTTTAAAAAAAATTATAAGGGCTGAAAATAAACCACTTAGGAACAAAGAAGTCTTATTGCAAGAAAATAAAGAAGTTAAAGGAAAAAAAATGTTGACAATTTGTACAATGGAACATACTCCTTATTACCTTCCATAGCAGAATGAGAGGTCTGGGTTTCTCTGCAGCAAATGGCACTTAACCAAAAGGTTTTTTTAATGCACGGATTGGATGTGTGGCACATGATACGAGATAAATTATTCGTTACGTAACTATTCAATACCGATATAGAAGCTAGTGTGTATTTAACACTTCCTTATTTTGATAAAGAGACAAGATTGTACAAGTTTTCTTTACTAAAGATTTATATTTTATAACTGTTCAAACATATGCAACAGAAAGAATAATGCACATTTTATATGAAAATGTCGCAGATTCAAGGGTTAATCCCTTATCTCTCTAAAAATTTAGTTTTATATATATATATATATATATATATATATATATATATATATATATATATATATATATATATATATATATATATAGATAGATAGATAGATAGATAGATAGATAGATAGATAGATAGATAGATAGATAGATAGATAGATAGATAGATAAAATTAAAAAAAAGAAAGGCAACACAGGTTAAAACGTTAGCGCTTTCATTATTATCTTCAGACGTTTTACAAATGTATTTGTAAATATTTGTAAAACGTCTGAAAACGTCTGAAGATAATAATGAAAGCGATAACGTTTTAACCTGTGTTGCCTTTCTTTTTTTTTTTAATTTTATCTATATAAAAACCGGACACTGTGAATGTTTCAAGTTTGAATATGTATATATATATATATATATATATATATATATATATATATATATATATATATATATATATATATATATATATATATATATATATATATATAACATTTTTGAAGAAGTTTTCCCATTATATCACAAATATGATATTTTTATCCATATGCCCTGAAAAACTGCTGAATCACGCTGGATATAGTTATATTACACCGGAAACAGTTATGTTGCCCTCCCGAACACCGTTATATTCCCTCGCGTGTAATCATTCTGCATATTAATTAAATCGGGTTCGAAATTCACAGAGGCAGTTGCTAAGCAAACGTAAACAGTTCCGCGAAAATGAAAATGTCTGGAAAACGTCTACGTTTTTTTATGTTCATTTAAATTCAGAGGAACCAGATAGTTTGATTGAGGAGAAAAATTCCGTAAATACAACAAAAATTATAAGCACAAGTGTCAGCGTGCTGAAAACATTCTGCAATGAAACAAGACGGAATATTTCGGAATTGTTTATAGAGGAAGAGAAATCAGCCTTCATAACTTTCAGCCGTTCCCCGTTATCATTTTAACAACAATAGTGTTAATGTTCCTTAGCATTATTATCGAAACTATTGGTACCCACCAATCAACTATTTAAAAAACAATTTGCATGTTTTTTTTCCAGATATTTACACAGGTCCATAGTCTTCAATACATATGTCCGATTTTGTTTTTTTTTTAAATGTTATATACCATATATTACATGACTTCTCGGGTAACAATACCAGAATATTTGCCCCTCGGTAACAGGAAAGCCCTGGAGTGTTATGTCGCCCTCTGCCTTCGGCATCGGGCGACATAACACTCCAGGGCTTTCCTGTCACCTCGGGGGCAAATATTCTGGTATGTTGCCCTCGAAGCCATGTAATATATGTATAATATATATATATATATATATATATATATATATATATATATATATATATATATATATATATATATATATATATATATATATATATATATATATATTCATCGTCATCATTGATACAATGGACTTATAAGCATTTGTCTTATTACACTGTAGTTGGATTTTGATATTTCGGACGAATTATTATTTTTTGTGGTTATCAAGTTCACTACGAAGTGTTAATATGTTTATCCAATATACAGAAAGATTTTGCACTCCCTTCAAGTCACTCTCAATAGTAGCTTCCAATGACTCATTTTCCTTTTCACAATGCGTATTTGCTAATATTGGTAGACATGCTATGCCAATATATAATCAATATTCTTAAGTAATACCCAAATGTTATCAAGATGTTTGAAATACAAGCACCTTGTAGTACTTCTTGAAATAAGTTCAATTTTTTTTTAAATTTTACATTCTTGAAGTGCATATTTAAAAATTGCATGCATTAGATATAAAAATATGTTCATGTTCAGGACAATATAAATGACTGGAAAATCATATACATTTCCTATGTTGTTTGAATGACATGAAAATAAAGGGAAACAATTAAACCTGTCCGAGTACAGGCCAAACCACGTGTGAACATGTATAAATCTTTGATCATCAATCGTATACCTACGCTCTCAGAACGTTTAGATGACAATTTCATTGGTAATTCTTAGACAATTAAGTCAAGTTATATCTCTGCCATTACAGCTACTTAAATTCAATTCTGCTTGCAACAGGAATATCTCTCTATGAATTATAAATGAAATCTTTTTTTAACCTGAAAGATATATGATAATTGATTTCCTTAATTTTAAACAAGAAATAAAACGCAGCATGTGGATAATCATATACAACTGGGGAAATGCTAGGCTTATCTAAACATATACTTCTGCAGAACGTGTCCCAATCAGTTTAACCTATCGCTTTGTTGTGTGTATATATAAACGTAAGTAGTAGCTGGAAATCCAATACCTAGTTTGCAAAATACCTCACTCTTTTTTGTATTATATCACAAATTAATGGTCGTGATATAGCGTTTTCATTCAGTTTGCTGTTTTCAATGTAAAAATACTCGTATATTAAAAATAAGTTGTTTTTTTTTTAACTTTCACTTGTTTGAAACCTACTATTTATTGCAACAAAAGCTGTAAATCATTTCTTAATATTTATAAACATTTCAGAACACAAATATCATGTTGTGCGAGGGTAGTTCAAAAAGATGATGGACATTGGCGTTTTTGTTATTTTGTACGGTCTTAGATATACATATTGTATACCAAACTATTTGTTATAAAATCCAAGTCACAATAGTTTATCTTTGATTATTTTATCTTCAACTTTATTTACAAATATAAATTGTAGATATCTTTATATATTAAAACATAAATAAGTTTTTTTTGTAAAGAGATAAGAAATCTAAAATTAATAAACAGTCCAATTGTTATTTTTATATACACATATGTGTATTTATATATGTGAATAAGCAAAGAACATAATTATCTATCATATTACAAAAAAGTTCTTACGTTTTCTTATAAACACATTATATATCAGTTGCTAATTTTACTTTCATCTTTAAAGAGGACTTTTATTTGTAATGAACATATATGCATAAAACACAACCAAGTCAATTATTTATACCAGGGCAATTGACCATCGACAATAATTTTCATATTGTCGAAAGTCAAGCAGATCAGTCATAAATATTCCCTTATCCCTCTGTTTCCTTAGGTAAATATATTTGTTCAAGTAAAGCCTGACTTGGTGACAAATATAAATAAAAATTATAAGCATGCTCAATAAAAAATGTCAGTATCTTGTTTGAATCCATACTTATTAGCCCAAAATTGAGAACATTTTAAGGAAAAAAAGCTTCATAAATTAGAATTTGAATACCTGTTATTTTAAAATATGAACAGCATTTAGTTTCATAATAACTTATGGAAGAAAATGAAAAATGAGTTTCTGAACGTTAAGTAATGAAAAGGAAACAAATCTAACAAAACTATATACAATGTATATGCTTCCGCAAATCTGCCAAAAAAAAGCATTTTTACATTTTTTTAAAATCACTTCCATAAAATAATGAGCATTTTTACAAATATTTCAACATAAAAATGATAATGGAAGAGCCAGACAAAAACATTACCCTCCTCTATCTACGTTAGCATATAATGTATTTATTACAGCGTAAATAGTTACATGCTCATCTATGAACACATTCTTTTCAAATAGGACGTGAGCTCTTCAACCCTCAATAAATAAATTGATCACAAAAGAAAAACAGGTCACTTCTGCCTATAGATAAAGCGAACACCTTTTGCAATATAGGATAAAGTGAATCCGAAATACATTACAGAGATTCATAATCCACAAAAGAATCCATATATATTTCAATTTTTTTCTCCGCGCTGATTCAGGCATCTGAATTTCAGACAAAAGTGATCCTATTTGTTGATATTGTAAACACTAATATTTAATGTTTTTATAACACCCTCGTGTCTGGTTGAGTTTATAGTAATTATAAAACAGTACACATGTATCCTTATTGAACTTGTTATAAAATCTAATTTATGAAACACTATTTCAGCTTTAAAAATCTAACACATACGGAAATTCCTACATGTTTCTCGGTAGAGAAAATGTTAGTCTTTTTCTGTATATTTCTTAAATTTCTTTAAAATGATTCCCCTGTATGTGCAATTGTTTAGCAAAAGTATCTATGATTTACCTATGGCCATTAACAGAAGATATGCGTCCATTTCAAAGTCTGCTGACGCCAAAACTGTGCGTTGTGTCTGTTAATTCAATTCTAAGATTATTATTAGTTTACGTGAGGGCGCCATCCTTCATTTATGATTTTATTCACTTTGATAAATTGCAAATCACTAAGTTTGAACGCATTTTTCAACTCTGTCTCACTGAGAGAACTGAAGAAGCTTCCATCCAAACCTTCTTTTTCACACATAGTGGCCAACGATGGTAACTTGGTCATTTTAAACAAGCTTACGACTTCCTCGGTTGTCATGTCACTGAATTTCTTCGTTGGATTCTCCTCGCGAGATATTGGTTGTATTTTGCCAACTGGTTTTGTTACTCTTAGTGACGCCTGATAACGAGGTGTATCGCTCACAGGAGGAGGACGTGGCATGGACGCAAGCTTTGTCAGGTCTGGGTAGTCGTACGCAAGTGATTCCTCTTCATCACTGTCATCACTATCCCTCAGGCTGAGATCGTCAATGCTGGGTGGAACATTGAGGTCTTGAGAAGAAGGGGGACTTTTTACTTCAACGGAATGTGAGCGCTTCAATTTCTTCAACTCATTATGGACCTTTTTCAAGCCAACTCTAAAGGTCTTTGAAAACATAAAACAATTTTAGACAAGTAACTAAAAAAGTTTATTTTCATGAAGATCATTCAAATGTGGTAAAAGAGGACAAGGAAGTAATTTCAAATATACCTTTGGAAACTTTGAAAAGTCTAGTCCAGTTTTCTTGGAATATTCTTTAAAAAGAAAAGGTATACAATAAAAAAAATCATTTATATGACTTCACTTTTGTAAAACCTTTGCCTACTTCTTTTGGTCAAATAAATAGAAAAAAAATATGCACAGCGTTGTCCATAATGACCATTTATGTCCTCTTTTATTCTTAAAGTAAAAGTGACAGAGTACAGAAAATTATTGTTTTTACCACCCCTAGCCATTTTCCTCTAAAAGAGTAAAAAAAAAATAGATAAATCAAAAAATAAAAATAAAATAAAAAATAATTCCCCGGTAATGATATCTTGTATTATTGCCCCATATAAAGGTTATCCGGTAAAATCGTGGACAACGCGTCAACACGTTTTTATTGAGAAATAATACGCACACTAAGCTGAATTTCAGCAAATGTTTATTCAACCTATTTAAGTATTTTTTTAAATAAAATATATAGACAAAAAATAAGGATTTTATTGTACTTGAATGTGCAAATGATATGGTCCTACGGCGCACGACCAAAAAATCAGGGTTTTATTAGAGATAATGCAAGTATTATTTCGAAATAATAGTATTAAATAGATAAGAATGTGTTATAAAATTAACATGATTTTAAGAATTTATACAGAAACTTCTACGCGAGAAGAAGAAAACACTTGCTGTGGCCTTCAACTCCACATTCAGATTATTTATTATTTAACAATAGTTACTTCCATTCATATGTCGACTTGATATATTCCAGTGAACTCCAAAAGAAAGATAGCACAGTCTGTCACATCTCTTTCATATTTGGATGTTCTACTGACTATAGACGATAAGGGCCATCTGACAACTAAACAGTATGACAATCGAGATGACTTCAGCTTTTCCATTGCCAACCTTCCTTATTTATGTATTCCACTATCACCTGCGGTGATTACGTCTCCCAATATATTCGATACCTAAGACCATGTTCTGAGTACGATCAATTTTTAAACTGAGGCAGACTATTGACACATAAGTTGATGTTACAGGGATTTCGGCTAACTCGTTTAAATTCAGCGTTTCGCAAATTATATGGTCGTTATAATGACCTTCTTAGCAAATGTAACCTATCACTGGGTCGTATTTTGGCTGACCGTGTTTCATATCAGTTATTAGGCCTTTGTTTTTATACTACATTTGACTACGGAGTATTCCTGATTAACACATAAGGCTCAGACGGATGTGATCGATCGATTTATTCCTTCTAGGCACCTTATTCCACATCCGGATTTCCGGGGGTCCATGTTTTATGACTTGTTCACAGATTTGTATTGTTTGTAGATTTTTTTTTAGATCAATCAATGTTCGTTATCTTCACCTTTTTCACTATCTATTACATTGTCACTTGGAATATTTCAAGGTATTTACTTAATTTTGGGCAGTTTCTTAAGCATTTGAAATGGGAAAATGGCTAACACACTATATGCAAAATGGCGACACTTGATGACGTCACGGCGCACAGGAAAGCAGTTCAGTTTTATGTAAACTTTGTAACGACGTCTTTGCAGACTCAGGTAGATCTTTAGTATACATGTAGAATTGGCGTTTTCTTACCGTGAAAGCTTTTTCATTAAATTTTCTAGCATTATAGAACGAATTAGAGGTACTGTGAACAATGACCTCACAAAATGAGTTCCCCGGTCCCATTTGGGTACGAAAATAGTGAGAAATATGTGTTCGATGAAAACGAAAAAAAAAAGGAGGTGCGCAATACTCGTAGCACTATGTAATAAAGTTTCCGGGAAAGTCTCATTAATTACATTTCATTTAGTGGTATAGGAGGAGTTCTGGACAAGAGATGGGTACCCCCAATATTATAGAAAGAATGGCAGTATCAATGTTTTGACATAGAAAACCCCAAATACCCCAAATATGTGTCTCATCAAAATGTAAAATAGGAGGTGCACAAAGGCAATATGTATTACAGATTCTGTAAAAGTCACTTATTCGGTGATGCAATTGGTTAATATCCTGGTACCTTTAACATAAATGCACAAATTGTAACATTGCAATGTGTTTAACTCTTAGCTGTTAGTACACACAAGAATGACACTTAAGTTAAAATAACAAAGAAAAACTGGATACTGTAGATTTTCTAAATACACACGGGGAATTATTAAAGCGTAATTTCGCGAGAAGCACCACTGGCGAAACAAAATGATTCGTTTACTAGTATATTCTTTTATTGCTGATATACATGAAAAACTCTTGATAAACAGCCACCTCGCTAATTCATATTGTAACGTTTCCGGGTTCTTTTATGGGATTCGGTTGTTCTATCTGAACAATTTAAGAATTAATCAATTTTCTCAATCACAAATTTAAATTAGAAATATGTACACTATCCCTCTCGTTCCTCGGGAGCGCACGCGCCTTCCAAGGACTGAAGCGCATTCGCTTCTTGCCTTCAGTCACACAAATGTATAAAGGTACTTTATATAAATATATATAACCAACCAAAGTCCTGAAAGCCTGATTCAGGCACGTAAGACTTTATTCAAAGATTCCCTTGCAGTACCTACCACGTTCAGCTCTTCTGTTCTAGACCGTCTTTACAAGCCAGTCGTCAGCAACAGACTGCTTCAAACAACCCGACTGTCTCCGTATATATACACACTTCAGGTCACGTGACCTGCTGAGAACCGAAGGGAACAAAGAAACAGGAAGTCATCACAATGTAACTACCGAGAAACGAAGGGATAATTGATCTTGATTTCAGTTTTGCTTCAATATTCTCGCGATTTGACATCAATCGGGTGCTTCGTCATCTTAAGTACTCGCATCAAATAAGGAATCTACAGTATATTCTTAACTGATATGGCTATGAATTTTCACTACGCTTCCACCTGTCATTAATCTTCAGTTGACTATTGATGCTGATATAGAGAACGAAGGAATTTATGTACAGTAGACACCAAGTTCAGGTATAGAACAAGAGTTTTGAAACTGCTACCAATTTAATGATAGAAAATCGAAACGTCTTTGTTGATCTGAGGCATTGAACGACACAAGACCGTCATCAGGTGACTACAAGACATTTAACGAATTCCTGGGGGGGGGGACAATTATACAGTACCTTATGTCTGAAGACAGCGATTCAATGTCCTCATGGTTTTGGACTATTGCTTAAAAAGCTTGGAAGAGAAATATTTCTACGTTTTCAATGTTGTGAGTATCTTTGTTTCTTTTCAATAATAGCTCATCAATTCAGTTGAAGATATATATTCCACAAGTAACAACTTAGAAGAGCGTTCACACTCTATCCCAACGATTAACTTAGCACATACACTAACTTACAAATGTTTATGACGAATCCATATAGGATTAAGTAACTTTTTAGTGTAGCTACATATCTGGAAACATCGTGACATTTAAAAAAATGCATTACAGTCAGGAAAATATAAGCCTAAGCAGCAGATTCCCTATGTAATGTTAAGTTTTTCTTGGCAGTTGCAAAAGCAGTATGATAGAAACAGCATTATTTTTCTGCTTTTTTAATAAGCACCAAACAGTCACTTTCACTCTAAATGTGTTCTTGTTATTAATATACTTACTTTGGGCACCAGAGTCTAAAAGTCATTATAATATAATGTACAGTAATCTACTCTCTGACTAATACAATGAAAACTTTTAAATGAAAATCACATTGACCCTTCACAAAACATTGTTTCAGCTAGTAATCTAATTAAAATCAGGCGCGAATATATAAGAAGTCTGATTTCTTCAGCTAGAATCCTTCAAGTATTTTAATCATGAATCAACTGTTAAGAAGCAAATCATCAAATATTTAGTGACTCAAACTACATGGTAAACATTTATCATTAACTTTGTCTTTCAGTATAATTCATATATTGAGATGAAAAAAAAAGTTTTGAAGGAGGTCATTATGATCATCCAGTATAGAATTCTAACCGCAGTGTAACACTCTTAATTCTTTATGATCAAATGTTTTTAAAATATTTCATATTGGTTAAAACATCTTTGCATTTCTGAAATTTGTTTCTTTACAAACATGCAATGATGCGTTTACATTACATTACAATCATTTTTGAAAATGGAGTAATGATTCAAGCTGCAGGTCTGTGTAAAAAATCAGTGCTGAAATTATGCAGCAAGAACTAAGCTTTTTGAGTCTCCTACATAGCGTTTATCTTTAAGCAACAAAAGTGTTCTTTGCTAATTTTCTTATTTATCTTAATAATCAATCATTCATTTTTTCATTTTAGGTAAGAATTGTATGTAACATACTACGTATTGCCAGCAGATTTTGAGCATGCTAAGATCAGACCATAAGCAATGTTTGACCTTCAAATGTCTACTTACGTTTAATTTCTGGAGATACAGGATTACGATTATTAATTATATCAATTTACGATGAAATTATTGATTCGTTTGGATTATGTATAAAGTTTTCTTTTCAAACATATTGGCAAAAGTCTACAATTACTAGTAATCATCTACCATCATTATTACACACAGACAAATATGTAGTCAGTAGAATATATTTTCCGTATAAAATAATTTGTGACATACACACGTATTATTGTACTATATTTATTGATAAATCTTACATTGCATCTTATATACAAAACACGGAATGAAAATTTACCTTCGACTTCCAGGATATCTGGAATCTCTTCATAAGCACTCTCTGGCTCATCATCTTCGGAATCGTCTTCTAAAACTGTAACATAACTCGTAACTAAAATAAGAGCCCACCATTTTTTATCCTAGATTTTTACAAAAACAATAATAGTGATAGGATACTTTCTTACATCTCAGAATATGAATTTTTTTATTCAGCATTTTACTAAACCATAAATATTCTCAACTGTTATTAAAATTTTTGCATTCCATAATTCTAAAAACATGCGAGTTTAAAGATATGTGTGTTTAAAAAAATTAAAAGAGGAATTGAATTATTTTCATTTAACTATTTTTGTATTCATTATATATATATATATATATATATATATATATATATATATATATATATATATATATATATATATATATATATATATATATATATATATATATATATATATATATATATATATAAAATAAGTAAAATAAAGTGCATTCAATAACAAACATTAGACGTTCAAAGAAAAAAAATGCAACAAAGTTAATTAAGAACAGAGTCGTGAAATGTTCATACATGGATATATATACAATGAATTCTTTATAAATGTTTATTTATGCTTCATGCCCCTTACATGCACATTGCAATATTGGTTTTTGTAAAACAAGAGGCACATGGACCACAACGCTCACCTGAGTCACTATTTTCTTCCTGAATAATGAATACGGACTGTACAAATAGATCAACGAAATCTGTTATTGTGGTCACCAAATCATATAATGTCCTGATTCAACAACTTGAATTTACAATATTTTTTAAATGTCAACTTTCCAAATTGTGCCAGCGTTAATCTTATAAATGCCAATATTGTTTTTGTAAAACTCTCTCCCAAATTGTGGCGCAGTCTTTTCCCCAGGGGCCACAGTTAAAAAATATGCATATATACGAGGATTTTTAACAATTTGACAACAAATGACCTGCTCCTCTTATGAAGCTTTCTGTAAATTTTCCCTATATAATATCAGATTAAATTTTTGACCCTTATTGTTCGAGAGGCCAAATTTAAACAAACTGCTTTTACACTGCATGGGAATTCTTGCATATTAAAATAACTAATGTGAAGCTGTTGTTTTTGTAAAATATTATATTTTTCCTCAAATGAATGTATGTATGAGAGAGAGAGAGAGAGAGAGAGAGAGAGATATTTGACACTCTATTGTTGTTGCCCCGCCTTAATCAAGGATTAAGAATTCATAAAGATAAAAAGGTATAAAGATAAATTAATGTTGTTGTTTAGAAAAAGCTCTTATTAGATTTTTACTTTATTTTCCCTTATAAAGATTTGACCCCATATTGCAACCCATAATTGATGTTGAAAACTTAAATCCCACTACATGAAGATGTTTGCATAAAGTACTACTAGTTGTAACTCTGCTGTTCTTGCAATATATTCAATTGTCAAACTTTAACCCCATACTGCTGCCACATCAAAGGGTTCATTATTTGAAAAAACCTAACTGTACACTCTGTGAAAATGTCTACATATTGATATGACTAATTGTGGCACTCTTCTGGAAAAGAAGACTCTTAATGATTTGTTTTCTACATTTACCCATGTCAATCATTGACTCACTATTGTGGTTCCACTCTAGCCCCTGGGGCCATGATTTGAAGAAACCTGATTCTATACTACAAAAATGCTTATCTAGTACAATGACTAAAAATAATCTTTCTGTTCTGGAGGAATTTTTCCATATATATTTGTATACAAAAATTGACTTTCAACTATGTCCCCACCCTAGCTCCCAGGGGTCATGGTTTGAACTTTGAACGTACACGATATGCAAATGCTTGCATATCAGTATAACGCATTGTTGTCCTGCTGTTCCTTAAAAGATTTACAAAGATATTTCCAATAAAATCTTGAATAAATCTTTAACCCCAGATTGAGAACCAATTCTAGTCCCAGGGGCCAAGAATTAAAAAAAAAAATATGAATCTACACTATATAAGGAAACATTCACAGGAGATTTGTCCTTTCCGGTCCAAAGGATCTTGATACATGTAAGATTACAAATGATGCCATCATCGGCATGGTTATTACGTGAATAACTTTATTTTCCTTTTATCCAGGATTGCTCTGAGTAACATGTTTGGTTGAAATTGGCCCAACGGTTCTGGAGAAGAAGTTGACATACGGAAGAGATCGGGAAGCTCAATTTAGCCTTTGGTTCATGTGAAATAAAAATAGCCACAGAAACGGTGAATGTGATATTCTAGACCTAGGTTAGTAATATAAAATCATTAAGTGATTTATTTATAACGGTGCAGCGCAGAAATACCTGGTAACGAAGATAGAGGAATCGGTGGCTGCTTTCTAGCGATAGGTTGGATTCTGGAAAAGGGTTTGGTAACGGGGGGTGGTGTTAACACACTCATCTCTTCATAATCACCCGCATCCTCATCATCGGAATCTTGTTCCCGGTCAGTTTTTTCTTTCCTTGATGAAACCTTCTTAGGCTTAACTGTATTGTCATGCAACAATTATGAAAGAACTTACAGGACATGCAACCTCAACTATCAAAACATTCAATGGAATTATTAGTCGAATATTCTAAAATGCATAAAAAAACAAAAACAAAAGAACAAGTGTAGGTTTCATTCCATGCAAAAAAAAAAAAAAAAAAAACAAAAAAAAAAACACAAAAAAACAAAAACAGCATTGTTTCAACCTTTAATGGGTGGTGGTGGTTTCTTTTTATTTGGACCTGGAGAAGGATTAGATTTAGTATCTTCTTTGATTTTAGTAGCATGTCTGAATTCTGGCCCCCCGGCAGATGGTTTTTGAATATCTGTAAATGTGACAATGCATTTTATCAGCAAGAATTTCTTTTCTTCACCAGCAAGAATTTAAGTTAGTTGTGCATACAGTCAACGCTATCGGAGAATTAAAGTGAATGTACATGTATATCTGTAAATTAATTGTGAATAAGACTGTTTAGTCACTTTCCTTCCTTGGTACTTTCTTTTCTGTCTAAATCAGCTATTTAAGACCATAAACTGTAAAACTCCTTCACAACATTAAAGTTTTGCGATCTTTTCGCCTCGATATTTTTTAATGTTATCTGCATGCGAGACAATGGATCACAGTATAAAGTATCTAGAATATTGCCTACCATGTTGAGTCTTTGGAACAGTCGGTGGTTTTCTCCTATTGGTTTCTGCAGATAAAGAAAATAAATGTAATCGTAGAAATTCCATACAACTACCCATATCTATTGACTCCAACCCATTATTTTGCAAGATTTCAGATTCTGGTTTCTAGTTTTGTCCTCGCAATATGTAGTTTGTATCTCCATTAAACATTTGCATAGAACACAAATATAAACAAGTTACATAACATGGATAATAGGCTCAACAAATGAAAGGAAATTACTGGAGACCTTAACATGGTAAATCTCTGATTCGTTTAAACTTCCTTGCATAACATACATATTGATTTAGCTTTCACGAGATTGGACTGTAAAAGAACCTCTTATTTTGTGCAAAAAGGGCGTTCAGCAAACTGTCTCTAGTTTCTTTACTTCTACGAGCCAACTGACGAAGCAGAACAAACATATTTCATGTAAATAATAACACAACTGTAACAATTCCAACTATGACATACACGGAAATGGGTACTCTAAGAACACAAGTATATTTAAGGTCATATATATATATATATATATATATATATATATATATATATATATATATATATATATATATATATATATATATATATATATATATATATATATATATATATGCAGTGTGGCTTTTAAAAAGAATGTTGCAATGTATCTTGATAAATAGATTTTTCTCACCAAGTGAATTTCTTTTTAGTATGAAGTCATTGAACAGAAAAAAAATAATTTCTCTGGGGATTCTTTGAAGAAATTAAAGAATTTAGGAAAAGGAGGTTGACAATTTGGACAATGGAAAACATTTAACTCTACAGCAGAATGACATGCTTATTGGATAATTACCGCGGCAATAATTTTTTGCTAGGTTCATTTTTTTTTTTTGAATACATGAATTGCTTACTAGTAGATTGGATGTGGCATGTGATACGAGATAAAGGGAAACCTTATGTAAGCAGCCAATTCCAGCATTGAAGTGTCCATACATCTAAATACTTCCTGGTTTTGATGAGAGGAAGATAGTGTTCACTTATACTCGAGATTTATATTTTTTAAATTGACGAAAATAAATATGTAGCAGAGGAAAATGATGCAAGTTTTTATTTAAGCATGATTTTTTGATGTCGTCTGTCGTATAAAAATGTATGTAGTTCTTACTGTGTATTCTACTGCACCGTGACAAGGTTTCATGTGTGTTATAGGGGTTTGAATGTTGTAGATTTTCAATGGATTTCAAGATCGCTCCGTGATCGGAAGGTCGTCGGTTCGAATCACGGCCGCGACTGACCTAAGTCGATAAAAAAATAGGTTGCAACTGTTCCTTCGCCAAGTGCATGGCACTTAGAAGTGAAAGTTGCCCTTCTCTTGGATGAGACCTTAAAAACCGTAGGCGTTGGCACGATAAAGAACCCTCACTGCTCAATGGCCCTGAATGTCGAGTAAAGGTCTAAATTTGAAGTCCTTCACCGGTATACGAGGGTTGTTCGGAAAGTTCGTGGACTATGCCAATCTTCGTTATACTATCTTCAAGAAATTTAAAATGAGCAAATATCATATGTAAAAATACTTACTTTGTTTCAGTGTGAAGTTTCATTCCATGTTATTTAATAGAATTTATGTTATTTAATTTTAAAATCAACACGTATTGTAACCGCGGAGCAAACTCAACAACAGTGTAACGTCAAATACATACCGACATAAGGTTCTCAAAAATACTTCCCCTATGCATTTCACACAGTATTGCCCAATACCAGCGCATTCATTAAAAACGTTTCTTTATTACTTGAAATCTATTTTGCTAATAATTGTTCCAATAGCATTATTTTGTTTGTCAATGTTATATTTTTTTTCACTGCATAAGTCTGCTTTCACAAAATCAGCATCTGTAAAGCACCAAACTCTTAGCATGACGTTACTAACTTTTCAATGTTTTTGATAAGATTTTTACAGATAATCCGTTTTTTTCACAGATCACCATCGTCTAAGCAGAGTAGTCTATCATTCAAATATCGCTTGTACCATGTAACAAACATGCATGGCTCGCTTTTGACATATTTCCTACTTCCTCTGGCATTTTCAGAGTTTTTTTTCTGGAGTTTTCCAGAGTACAACACAAAATTGTATGGTTAACTCCTTCTACGACGTCATCTTTTTTGCCTTTTTCAATGAGGACTACCTATCCTCTGAAACTGATTTCTTTTCAATGAAGCAAAATATTAAGTCATACTTTGGAATCAGAAACGATGAAACAATTCTTAATTTGAAGCTGTAGAATTTTTTTTCCGTTTTTGTATCATTTTACAGAAGATATGACGTCAGACATTATTTAGTGTCTTGATTGTAAATTACAAAATTTTGACCTGCTCCGTGATCCTATTTTCGCAGTTTTAGTCTAAATAAGTTTGAAATAAACCAAGATATTTAAAAAAATTTTAATACACATCATTTGAATTTACTGTTAAAATATTTCTTCGAAATTTGGATATAATATGACGTTAAATTAAAAAAGTTATGACGGTAGTCCACGAACTTTTCGAACAACCCTCGCATGGTGACGTCTCTATATGAGTGAAAAATTCTCGAAACATAAAACAACATACAATCAATTAATCAAGCAGAAAAATGACACTAAATGAAAACGTGCAACATTTAAATTCAAATAAAAATCTCAACAGCTAGTTGTCAGAATCTAAGCCTCTCTATCCATGGCTTTCTAAATGCCTTCAAAATTCTTAATATCATTGAAATATAGAGCCAAGGAATTCAATAAAATAAATGAGTTTAACAGAACCTGGCAAAAATTGTCTTTTATGCTTTTAACTTAATATAAATATCAGTAATGAATCTAACCACGTTATTAAATCAGCTGTGCCCCCTCACTTTCTTTTCTCTCATCCACGCATTCTCTCATTCTTTTTTTTTTTTGCTCACCCCTTCTCACTCAAAAATGAATACTACAATAACAAGATTATGTTCATCTTATATATGTACATGTACATCTTTGTATTATAACATTGTGTATTTCAACTAAAAAAATGAACTCAATGTTAAAATCTCAAAAATTTTAGATAGTTTTACAACTCAACGTTAACATTCAGAAAACTCGATTCATTAGCATTAAAAGCATTATTAAATATTTCTACATGTATAATATGATTGAAAATTTTCTATCTCTCTGACTGGCTAAGATCCAATATTGTAAAAAAAAAAAAAACAAACTTTATTATGTTTACCTGCACAGGACCTTTCAGTTAAACATTAGGATTTATTTTTTCTACATTGGACAAAAAATATATTGAGGACTTCCAAATTGATACAATTATAGTAAAACACGCTTACAGCGAACACGCTTATATTGAATGACACCTGCAGCAAAGTGATTTTCTTTCCCGTGGCTTTAAAATATATTGTGAACCTAATGGATATAACAAATTACATTTATGACGAAGCAAAATCGTCCGTCCCTGGCACTTCGTTATTAGCGTGTTTTAGTTCTGAAATGTGATTTCGCCTCCATCCAACTTCCACTCAGGTGAACATTACATAATTATAGGCACATAGAATCGGGGGGAGATGATGCTATTCCACTCACCAAACTTTTTCAGAACGAAAATTTTTAAAATATATTTAGAATGAAAATGTTTATTGAAAACCTGCCCCCCCCCCCCCCCACATTGATACAGTATAGTGAAGTCCACGTTGATGGACCCTAACCCTCCACATCCCACAAAATAAGATTTGAAGTTTGGAGAATTATCCTCTTTTGGGTGCTAGCTTAGTCAAAGATTTGTTAGGTAAGTGGCCAATTTTTTTCTTATAATGCCCCCTATTAAAATTCATGCTACGTGCCTAACATTTATTTTTTCTATATCGCATTAAAAATGGATTTAGAAAATCCAGTTTGATACAACTGCATGGTAATGTTTATTAAGCCCCGCTTCTCTCACTGCATTTGGCTAAGACATCAGCAAATGTCAGCAATAAAGCATGGTTTGCTTAATGAGTCTGTATCATTTAATCATTGAATCATAAAAAAACCCAATTGTTGCTGTTTTTGAGGTCAAAGGATCTTCCATATTCCAGTATATTACGATCATACCCAAAATTGTGTTTTAAAAAACGTTTAGGATTTGAATAAAAATGTTACAGATATGTGTTTCAATTAAAGGAAAGTATTTAAGGGAAGGCATAAAAACAAAATCAGTGTGTTGTTTCTTTCCGAACACCGAGGACATAATTTATTGAACAGTCCTCGTAGTCGTATCTACAGACGAATAAATTCACTAAATAAATTCAAAGTTTTGAATTTTCTTTCTTCCAACAGCCATGTTGACTTAATGACGGTATCTCGCTAAAGATATCTGTAGATACGACTATAAAGGGTAAGTAACTGGATAAAATATACAGGTTGATAATAAAATATGTCTAGAATTAAGGAATGAAAGGATGTATATGACCAGTGCTGGAAAGTGGAGAAATACACGCTAAACGTGCTCAGAAATCTTGCGCCGTAAATTGCACTTTATTTGCATTACGGGATCTGTAGCGTTATGGTCAATGCCTGAAATATAAAAGCATAACGCTTAGGTTCTGCAGCTGAACTAAAAAGTGATCCAATTGCCTGAAATTAGTAATATTATTAGTTAGCATAGTAATACATTATTTTTGCACCAATACGGAGATCCCATTGAATTGTAGTCCTCTTCCAAAAAAAACGTCAGATAAAAAAAATCACGGAAGGTTGCATAAGAAATTTTAGTCAATTGTTGTTATTATTGAAATATAGATATTTTTATTTCAATAATAACAACAATGGACATTCTTGAAAGGCATTTCATTTTATTTGCATGAAAATATAAGTACACAGCTAAATAAATGACTGAAAAATCATACACTTCCTGTATGGTTTGACTGACATTACAATAACAGGAAACAAAGACTTTCTCAGTACGGTTGGAGTGATATGTCAACTTATATTAGTTCTATAACTTCCCTATTTGAATAGCGATCGTAAATATCCGCTATCAGATGGTTCAAAAATAATTCACACTTTAATATACAAATAAGTTAAGCCCATTTACTCAGATTTGA